TTTTTTTTATTTCACATAGGCAATATAAGTAACAACTATTACATAAATTTTTACAAACTTTATATGGATAATGTGATAAATGAGAGGGATGGCGATAAGGATGACGGTGCTAATCTGCTCCGTGAAGTGAAGGTTGCTTCCAATCACGGCGGGGCCACCACTAAAATAATAGTAAAAAAATAAACTAAATAAATGTTACATTACACTTGCATCGATATCAATCGATAAATTCAATATGTGATTTGACTACATCACTATTTGAGTAGCGTAGAACTGGCGAGAATGTTCTATTGAATGGAATAAATCCAAAATAAACGTTATCTTGAAGGCGTAAGGTTGATTTTGACAAAACAATATTATTTTAATAACAGTTTTTGTAAATTGAAATAAAATAAGATTTCTACAAGATCACAATGAAAATTGTACTTACCGATGATACGAAACACCTCCATTTTTACGATTTTTCGGCTGCCATCATTTTTACACGGCAAAACGGAACAAATCGGCATAGTTGAGGAAATATGTATTTGACACGAGACTAGCAACTCGACGCGATGTTCGAACGAGACTGAACTCAAATTTGCCTCGACTAAGCAGTGCGCGGCTTAGTTGTGGCACGCGTGCCACGCCTACTTGCTACTTCCATTGTATTCTATATTCCGTGGGTACAAATCTTTCCTCTTTATAATATTAGTATAGATATGGATATAGATATATACATATATCTAGGTATAGATTATAAATATGTCAAGATAGAGCGTCACCATACAATAACAACAAAAATGATATCGCAAATTTTCTTGAATGTGTGCGTGCGGCTTGTGGTTTACATGGAGCAAAAATGATACCAGCTACTACGAAAATTGTCCTATAAAATTTATATCTCCCATAAATATTTCAGTACATATACCAGAATATTTAGAAATAAACTATAAAACAAATATAACCATCTCTTTGAATTTGATTTTAAATTTTTTTTTTTTAGACTCTGCATTGATATGTATATTTTGTCATACCTATAAGTAGGTAATTTATTTTTGGTGTGAAAACAATAATTAAACATTTAAAACATTTTTACCATTATTTCTATAAAACCAATTTATAATATTTTATTGCATCCTTTTCATCAAACAATATACCTAATTAAATTGATCCAATCATTTCAAAAAAGTGTCGAAACGAAGCTTTTTATTTTAGTCGGTTAGATAAATAGTACATTCAAGCCTAGGTAAGTGTACGTGCAATAAATAATAAAAATATTATTTTATTTTTAAATACCGATTTTTAGATTGTTTTTTAGAAATATCCCTCTTTATAAATTGGCAACACTGATAAAATAATTGGCGGCAAGTCAAAAACATAAATTAAATAATGCAATTTTTAATTACTTTAATTTATGCGATCTGTTTAGTATTTTATAACCGTCATTTATAATTTTAGCACAATTTTGTGAAGCATGTGGCATTTTTGATTACAATTTTATTTTTTAGCATGCATGCACGTAGTGACGCCTAGGTGACACGATTGGTACTACCTACTTACTTAACGGTAATTGCAATAATTGCAAATTGCAGTGAACAATTCACTGCAAATTTTTGTTACGCTTTTCGTGAACTGACACGCCAATTAGACATTATATAATTAAAGATTCTATTAGTTCAGTAATATTTGCTATCTGGACATGAAATGTAGAAATTTGTAAGTAGTTTAATTTTCAGATTTCTCATAAAATGCATAGGAAAAGAGATATTATTATAAAAAGTCCGCTTTTGGCCGCCATTTTTCTAAGATGGCGGCGTGTGCGGCGCTCGTACAAAGGTGGAAATGTAAGTCGAAAAGAGCACAACTAAATCAAAATTGCCGATAATCAAAGCTCCCGGAAAACGAGTAGGTATGTATAACCACAAAGATATTTATGTGCACGACATGACGTCAAGGTACGGAATTTCATTGAAAGTAGTAATTTTCTTACATAAACAATTTCAGTTATAGGGGAAACAAAACTTAACTGAGAACAAAGAATATAAGCACCATCTTATATTCTTTTTTCTCTATCAAGTAAAATTGGGATTATTTTACCTTTTCTACTCTAAAGTTACCTTTCGTTTATAAATTTGTTTATGTTATTTATAATGAGCAAAGAAATGGAGCCACAAGCGTTTATTCTTTTTCATTTCTTGATATATATTTTGTAATACAAGTATTTTATTAATTGGTAACATATGTCGTATGAAAGAGAATTTAGTTACCTTTAAAATGAGAGCATTTTGTTGTAAAAGGTATGTTTTTCAAAAGTTATTGTGAGTTCGATTAAATGAAAAAGAAAAAATGATAGTGGCTGTTTTTCCTAGCTTCCAAGTGTATATATATCTCAATCAAACTTTTGTATCGATAGTTGCAAATATATAAAAAAAAAACTCCCGTACCCATGAGGCCGTGAGTAGTACCCAAGTGTTGCACGGATACTCCATTTATAATATGTTCTCTGCTTTCTGAAACGGCGGAAATCCCCAGATAAGTTCCGCTGAACGCCGTGGCATGACCAATTATTTGTATGATCCAGTATTTTTGCGACTTCTTTGGGTACACAAAATTGTGTTCGAATCCCTTCTGAGGGTTAACTGACAGCAGTGCTTGACTCCAAAGTAGTGTAAACTGTAATTGAAACAAAGATAAATTAATGAAGTTATAAACTCATTATCTTTTAAAATAAATAAGGGTCAATATTTCAATAAAATTAGCAGTTTAATTTACTACATATAAGATTTATCGCATATGTTAAAATAAGTACGTATAAGTCACTGGACATGATAATTTAAATTTTTTAACAGTGTTTCTGAATCCGTAATATATATGTTTTGACTGCACGGTTGGCGAGGTGGGTGGGCAACTGGCTGCCGCGCAACGTGTCGCGGGTTCGATCGCATGAAACAAAGAGTTGTGTGATCTACAGATTGTTGTTCCGGGTCTGGGTGTCATGTGTATATGATATTGTATATTTGTAAACGCACCCACAACACAGGAGAAAATCCCAGTGTGGGCAACGTTTTGTATAAAAACAAAAGGATAGGTACATTTCGTCAGGAATAGTGCTAATCCGCGAATCTACCATACTGAAAGGCCGCGTACCTGCGTAGACGCAGTTTTAATGAGGATGGTTAAAACTTAATAACATTGTTAATTCAATGAATTTGAAGCTAATTTTTACATATTAAGAATAAGTTAAAATGAACTCGTGTCAAGGCAAGCCAATAAAGATTTTGCGGGATTTTTCCTCGTAAATTTGAATTAGCTGCATTTTTCAGATACGCGCAATTATCAAATGCTAGTTCCACGGATCTGCACTATTCCTGACGATATGTAAAGGTGCAAAGAATGATGCTTACCCCAGTGACTGTTATATAGACGTGGGCCATCTGCTTATCGCTGTATCTGGTAGGTGGATCGCTTATCGCAAATGAAAGGAACGCAACTGCGCCTATGAACAAGAGAGAGAGCGTATTTATTGCATTTAAGCATCCTATGTAGAACGAAGGTTTCGTAGGTTGTCCCATTTTGTCAACAAATGAATCAGCACCAACTTGCACGTTATAGCCGACACTGTCCAGTTACAAACACTGACATCGCAATAAATATTCGACAAGTAGATCTATTATCTATCGATCACTTTGATATCTTGCTAATAACAAAAAGATTATTCCGTCACTTGAAGCAAATGTATCTGATGATAATTTTACCATATAATTATCCTCAATTAAGAATGTAGGCAACCATTTGAGGCGGATACAAAACACATTTCTATGTGTAGACGTGCGGATTATCGGGCAGAAATTGATTCAGAAATCTTAAGCATTAACATATAGAGAAGGGCTTTATAAGAAGGCTTTTTCTCAAAGTTGAAATTTTAAATGATTTATTAATGAAGACAGAAATTCAATTAATAAAAGTATGAAAAAGTGTTACATTGTGATCCTGCTCAATGTTATTTGATGATCCATCGTAATATAACACACTTTCATTTTTTCTTATTAGGTTTAAATAACAAAAATTGATTTTTTTTTCATTAGCAAACAACAAAAGCAATTTATTAAATAATAATATATATACAATTGTGCCCGGGATATGGCAATAGGCTCACCCGCATGGGACTCGTAACATAAATAGTGAAAAGTGGGTGTTACATTGTACAGTGCCATTAGGTGCCGAAATGTGCACATCTGGCTACGCCTTCAGGGATAAAACGCGTGACGTTATGTTATGTGTTACGTAATAAAAATTTTTTTTCTTGTGATTTTATATAAGAAACCGTACTCGAAGAGTTTATTTTAGTTTAGTTTTTCTGTTCCTGTAACCATCTTGTAGTTCCACCATTAGATGATAGTTTCTATTAAGCAAAAATCATAAAATTCAGCTGAATGGGTGCAAGAAGTAGATCTAATTTTACAGATTTCAAAACTTTGCTTGTAAATGAAAAGTAAACTGATTAAGTATTTTGGCTTTTGGTATGTTATAGTTATTTCATTAACAATTTTTATTTGTGTGCGTTTACAAAAAAATCAATAACTTCAGAGACTCAGTAAGTCTAAAGGTCCATCCTTTAGGCAGATACAATTTAGTTGTAATATTTTGACTATATATTTGTGTTACATTGTTCTCAAAGTACATTTTAATAATGTAATAAAAAATGAAAAGTTAAAAGTCAAAGCATTTATTTCAATTAATCCTTAATAAGCCACTTTTGAAACGTCAAAAAGTCCGCACTCATTCTATTATATACCTCATTTCCGATATTTAGGGAATACTTGTATGTACAAATTTTGTGGATTTTTCGTAAGACATAGGTATTATCAAGTGATTAAATTCAATACATTACTTGGTAATTTATTATAACAATTCACACATAATCTCACGGAGGATTTCTGCACTTTGGACAATCGGAATTGCGGTATAGCTAACTTACTTTTACCTCTCGTATTAAAATTATGTCGATCGCTTCTTTTTGGAAATAATTGCAGATTTTATCTCACGTACATAATATTACTCGAATAACTCGCTTTTGCAAAATATATAATAATAAAAATCGATTCTACATCGACAGCTCCACCTCACAGCAAAATGCCGTAGAACATAATGCTGTGAAAATAACTAAAACAGACAGGCCTTGATGTATTTACGTCCGTGACCTGCCTAATTAGTCTAACCGCAGAAACAGCTGAGCTTAATCTCCCCCAAGTGCTTTTATGTGGGGTCCTTATTGTAATCCATCATCTAGTATGACACCTAAAAATGCAGTTTCTTTGTCTACTTTTGTTCGTTCAAAACGACGTCGCATTCGTTGCTTTGCACGATTGGCGAGCTAAATTTAATGCGTTCAGTTTTTTCTCATTAACTCGTCGAGTAGCGGTTTTGCAGACACAATTATAGAACAATAGGTTGCGGTCACCGGTGACCGCTTGGTATTTGACAGTTTAAGCGTCAAATTATTATGAGTGAACAAATTATGGACTACCTCTATAGAATGAAACTGTTTACGTCGTCAAAATTATTCGTATGTCGACCTATTATAAAAATAATTCGTAATTAGTCGTATCGTGAAACTGATAGATAAAGAGTAACCAAGGAATTCCTTACTTGTTCGTTTCCTTATAAAATACTTATACGAACAAATTGCTTCACCAGGTGACTGATCGACAGACAGACACTTTTTGTCCTTTAGTATTTATATGTGCCTAATATTGATTTAATCGATATAAATAATTTGACTTGGACTATGATATAAATTATTATAATAGCGCCACTGCTTGCGTGACGTAAACGTTAAACGTCTGCGTCATCATGATTCAGTACCATACGGGCATGTCTATGCATCCTGTAATCCCCCACCCTCAATCCTTGTAATGCATAAATACCCAGTTTAAACAAAAACATAGTCTATGTGTTTTTAAAATCCAGAAACATGTCAAACACTATGCGGTCACCGGTGACCGCAACCTATTGTTCTATAATTGTGTCTATAATGACGGTACTCGACGAGTTAGTGTACCACACAAAAACAAGATAGGGAATGATTTGGCTGAAATTATTGATGAAGAAAGAAAAATTAAATTCAACAAACTTTTATGTTCGGGTTTACGCTGTTGTGCCATAAAAGGTTTTATCTTATGTTAACTGTAACTCACTATCCCATGAACTAATACGAAAAAATAATGTCAAGTCTCACCATCGTGGGCTGAGTTAACTGAAAATTAACGAGTTACACACTTAAATATAACTACTGAGAAAATATTTTTGTTCACTATAGGTCTTACGTTTCCCTTTTAAAAGAGAAAAAAAGATTAAAATGGGTTAGTGATTTTTCATTTTTACAGTACAGTACAAATAATTTAAAAACCAAGAGTCAATATTCACTACGTCGAATTAGTTAATTTTCGTTTTCGTGCGTTTTAGCAAACTATTGATTTCAAATATTAACCAAATCATTGTAGTGATTTTTAATTTAACTATTGACAAGTGGATGCATTCACAATTGAATAGGAAAATAATTAAGTGGACTTAATTTTAAGTTATGCAATTTTTTCGTAAATGTATAATTAATTAATTAAGTTAGTTATTTCTCCAATTATGATGTGGA